CTTAAATCTTCCATCTTCTCCTTTTGGCTATGTCTGCGTTACACGCATCATTTTTATGCAGTGTCTTATAGTTGGGATTCCTTCACAAGGACATTAAGTCTACAAAGTTGTCAAAGGTGCTATACGCCTCATACTAAGCACACAACATGAGGCCTAATTCACTTTCTGATGTATTGGAGGTAACAGAAAAGCAAGAACGCATTCCATATAGTCGTACTCATAATGCACTCCTATTTTGATGATGCATGATATAGTACTTATCTATTGTGATCATTTTTCTTGCGAAAGTGTTTACAAAATTACGGCAACCAATTATTTTGGTGGCGTCGTTGTCCTTCACTGCTGCCACTATGTTTTTAACCCCCATTTTTCACATTGAGAGGGTAAAAAAAAATTTTAAGAAAACGAAAAAAATGATCTTGGGAGCAAGATATGGTTCCTTGTAACTGGGCTTGCCATACTCGGGCTAAGAAAGTTATTAGGGACTCTAGAAATATTGCTGCTTTAACTTTAACTGTGCTGCGTGTTCCATGCAGTTTTTTTTTTTTTTAGTTGAATTTGCTTTTTGCTAGAGTGAACATGTGCCGCTAGGATACTGTTTGCCCTACCACTGTAGGCAATTCTGATTTGGCTTAGTTTGTTTATTTGTGTTTGCATTAATTGTTTAAATCATTCACTTGTACATATGTGACCATGTGGTATTTGTGATGTCATGGGTAAAGAAAGGTACGCTAGACTGAAATTTCCTTGTGTTTTTTCTTTGCAGATGCTTCACTTCTTTCTTAATCAGCTTTCGGGTGATGTTGAAATCATGGAGGGTTCAAAAAAGGCACTGCGTGTGTTTGGAAAAGTGACTATCGTCCAAGAGTCTGCCAGCATGGTTCTTTTGGAGTGGAATTCGAGTCCCGTTAATGACCTGTTTGCCGATGCTGTCATCACAGTGGTGCTGCGTGCGCAGTGTTCAGCCTTTCCTCCCAAAAGCCTGCCGTCAAATCTGGTGAAGGTTGACCGCATGCATTTCACGGAGTGCCTCATGGAGACCCTGGCTGAAATGTTTGGTGAGGACTCTGTTGGCAAAGTGGTCAAGGGAGAACGCATGATGGTCACCGTAAACGACAAGTGTGCCCACATTAACTTGAGGAGCCTTGAAGTTCAGTGTGAAGGAGATGACGTTTTGCAGCAGATTGTCTCCACAGCAGTTACAAAGTTGTACAATTCTATGGCACCACTTAAGGTGTGATGTGCACGTATAGGACTGGCTGCAGCTCGACTACATTTCTGCATCATATTTGGCAACCAAGTGTTGTTTTCTCATCATCTCTATAAATATATTTGAGCATTAAACATTGTGTACTTGTTATGACTACTTCCACCTATTTGAATTAATACTGTGTCCAAGTTTGTTTCTCTGCAATCTACCCTTAAAGCAATCAAGTTGCACTTTTTACACAAGCCCTGCCACACTTATCCTCAGTATAAGGTATGTATTGGTACTGTAAGGCTTCATTTTTGTATGGAACAGTTGTGGAAAATCAAGGGTTGAGGAAAATGGAGCCATGTGATCGTCAGGCGTTTCATCAAAAACCTCATGTTTAGATCCACTAATGTGCTTCGACGTAGTATGGGTCTATAAGCAAAAGAGTGAGGAAGCAATATAGTGTGCCTCATTCATTGATTTCTTCATCAAATAGTGGCATCACCATAACTTTGCCTCTCATAAAGGGACTCACCATTAGGGTATAGTACTAAATATGACGCTACTGATTACCCTGTCGTCATATATACTTTCTGTGGACCAGGCCTGTAGCCGGGAGGGGGGTGCCCTAGCCCCCCCTCCCTGCTATGGATAAAAGGGTGTTTTACCGAGGACAAATAACAAAAAATGTGTTTTTCAAAGCCTTCAACCAGTGGGTTTCCCCCTTCCCCCCACAAAAAAATTCCTGGCTATGAGCGTGCTGTAGTTTCGTATGGCAACCTCATTGCTTTTTCTGTATGGAAGAGGCACTGTAGTGGCATGCATTCTGCTGTCCAAATTTTACATTTTTCTTGGCATTTCACATTTGTTTTTAGTACTTTATGTTGTGGCGAGGAGAAGGAATAAGCTTTATTGAGAACCAGCAATTTTAGAAGCGCAGCCTAGGCCTCCCACGTCGGGACATCGGAGTCTTGCCTCTTCGCCGCCTCGTGGGCTTGCTGGGTGGCGCATAGTTGATTGTGAAGGCAAATTTAATGTTTTACGCTGCCTGAGCTGTTGGCCATTAATTTGTGGGAACATACAAATTCATATATGAGAAACTTTTTGTGGATGAACATTGAAGGGTGTACAACAAACAGCCATTCTGTCGAAGTCAATGCCTTTCAGCAGCAGCAGCAGTAGCAGCAGCCTGACTGCGCCCACATAAGGGCAAAGGCCTCTCCCGTGTTCCACCAATCGGCACGGTCCCGTACTTTCTGTTGCCACAGTATACTCAAACTTATTAATCTCATCTGCCCACCTAATTTTCTGTCACCCTCTCATGCGTTCGCCTTTCCTTGGAATCTAGTAGTTACCCTTGAAGGGCCAGTCCACAGGCTCAGACGTTTTTTGACACCCCGCAAAAAAGCTCGACAATTTGTAGAGCAGTCCAAGTGGATCACGTTTTCCGAATATTACAGTGCTGTGCGCCACACAGAGCCTTCATTTCATAAAAGAATTCCCGTGCTCCTTTCCTACCCCTGACCAATTCTTTCACACACAGATACGTAAAGTCACCGATCCACGATTTGACGTAGCACGCAGCTCGTCGGTTGGTCTAAACCAGTCACGACGACGGGCTACGTCTTCCCCTCCCTATGAGGGAAAAGAGTGGCAAGGTCACATGAAAATTTGAAACCAACTGGAAGCAATGTCCTAACCTCTGTAGTTTACTTAATATAGCACGTATTCACAAAATTATTGCGGCAGCATGTTCACAAAGTAAAAATGCACATATTTTTATTTATAAAAATTTTTTGAACCACGGGCTTGTTAACTGTCCCTTTAACCCTTCGAGATGCTTTGTACACATTTTTGTACATCACTCGTTTTTGCTCTTTGCATCAAGTAGAGGCTATGAAAGAGCAATATATATCGTACTTTGAAATAATTGAGCTTCCTTCATAACAAGTTTGTCTTCATTTAACCTCATTTTGCATTGTACTGGTACATATGGTCACTTTTTTTTAAGGCACTATCACGTTGGATGAGTCATGCAACATGCCGCTTTCTGCGAGCAATCTGAAAAGAAGAATTTTTCTTTGCTTCACCTGGGCATCACCAAAAATAAATTTATGCCAAAAGTGAGCAAAAATGAATTTATGCCAAAAGGTAGCATCTATGACTTCATGGCAAGGAGATATTTAATTACAGCTTATTTAGGATCAGTTGCTATAACACTCATAAATTCAAGAGTTATCTCTTAATTTTTGTTGCATTAAAATATTCAGTGCCTTGAAGTAACGTAGTAGCGATTTGACATATTTACATACAGTTCTGTATAGATGGCGTCTGAAAGCGTTAATGACCTACTGTTATCCTGCCTACACGCTATGTGCCCATCCAATGTTAATTTATTCTTCTTGATTTCAACTGTGATATCCTAAACCCTTATTTGTTCCCCGATCCACTCCGCTCTCTTCCTGTCTCAAGGTTACACCTATCATTTTCCTTTCCATCACTCGCTTCGTCGACTTAAATTTAAGTATAACCCTCATTGTAAGCCTCCAGGTTTCTACTCCGTAGGTGAGTGCCGGCAAGATGCAGCTGTTATGTACCTTACTCTTGCGGGATAGTGGTAGACTAGCATTCATGCTTTGAGAATGCTTGCTGAATGCGCTTCACCCCATGCTTAACCACGCTCATGTTTTAGCTCCGTGGTTATTAACCTGGCCTAAGTAGACATATTAATGAAATATCTGGAGTTGAACGTCCCGAAATCATGATGTGATTATGAGAGACTCCGTACTGGAGGACTCCGGAAATTTCAACCTCCTGGGATCCTTTAACACGCACCGCAGTGCCTTTATGCAAGCAATAATACTTTGTTAATTATTTTCATGGTATACATGGTCAAGGGATTATTGTACATGGTATTATAAAGTGTCCTTGTTGCAGACAGGAATTAACAGCAGATATAGAAGACGTGTTTGTGCGGTTATAATTTGTTTGTTGGTCGCCATTGTCCATCAACTGTGAATGAAATGAAAAAACTTTATTTTCCATCAACTGTGAAGCTGGACAAGATATTAAAACTTTGTGTACCAGTGACTAATGTAGTTTTCCTGAGTCAAAGGTGCTTTCATTGTAAACAAGTTTTGATTGCATCTGTTGATTCCTATCTAGAGGGCACGCATGCATTCTTCATCTACTATATTCAAGTGCTTGATGCGTGCACTAAAAGGGTGATTTGCATGCTTTCTGTGCCTCTGGGAAACCTGGAACTCTATTTTGAATTACCTGCGGTAGATAAGGAGAGCCTCGGGCATGGCGTATAATATAAAATCGCAGGTTTGGTCCCTGGCGGTGGCAAGTTGTCTTTTCATCCACTTAACTTTCTTCATATCAATATCACAGTTAATACAATACACTTAAAAATGGGGCAATGATCGTCCCCCGTACATTGCTTAGCTCCATTGTCTGCTGGTTTTCATTAATGCTGTAATGAGAATATTGTGAAAGCGGTGGCAGGCTACCTAATGGTTGCCAAAGTTTTGTAAATTGGGGCCTCACTTTGTTCGAACATTTATCTCAGCATGCGGTAACTTTCAGTGTAGCAGCTGTACCAGCTCTACGCTTTTGCTGATGGGGTTGTGTAGATTTTCCGATGGACTTCTTTATTTATTTGAATAAATGTAAGAGAAACAGGAGCCGCTACACAAAGGCACTTTTGGTTAAGTTGAATTGTGGTGAGTTGCATCAGTGTACACTTGGTTGCTTCCATGGAAAGATGCTGCTCCATGGCATCAATTAAACACCAAGATGGTTATGCTTAAATAACAAGTTTATTATCTTTGTGCTTGGAGTGGGTGCATATAGTGCATACCACAGTATCACTTTACTGGCTTAATGTGAGGAAACGTATGTACACAGTGATATACACACAGCAGGGAACTTGGGTCACAGACATTTGTTTCTCATCACGGCACCTTCTCCATGCTTCTGGCAATACTGTGTGCGTGGAACTTGCCACAGCTAATGTGCTTCAGATCTTGAACTAGTGTTCTCGAACTTGTGTTAACAAAAAACAAACAGCATCAAAGCAGTATTCATGCACAGCTCTCCATACATACTAACAATGTGCCCCTTTGGCACATTGTGCAGTTGTAAAAACAATTGCCTTTCTTTTTTTTAAGAAAGGTTATGGCCAAGTGCTGGGTGTCATGTCCATGTTTCTATCAAAACAAGCAGTTTAGGCCTCCTTGTGCACCATGTTCCTTTCTTTTGTAAACATTTATCTGAGTGGCTGATGATTCATTCTATTGGTCCAGAAATTGATTTTGCAAAGAACAGCTGGCTGTGCAAGACTGACGTGCAGTTCAGCAGGTAGGTGTGAAAGAAATAGCATTATGATGGCATGCATTGGCTTAAGCTTCATGATTCGACAGCTCTGGACTAGAGTTACTATATATGTTTAAGATTTTGGAAGCCCTCTCAAGAGCACCAAAGGGTAGTTTCATTTAAAGGGGTATGGCCACAAAATTTCGTGAGCAAGGTAGCTTTAGGGATCAATTCCTGTGAACATGCAGGTATTATCTGCAAAATATCAACAAATATGGCATAAAAGGTATTTTTTATGTATTTTGAAGACTGCGTGCATGAACGAGCACTGTACGCCGCACCTCAGGGCACTGGCACCCTCAAAAGGGACACAAAGGCGAGCCCCCTTTCTTCTTGTCACGTTGCAGCCTGTACAAGTTATAATGACGTCATAGTCGCCATTATTCTTTTACTGCATTTGCGCCCGTACATTACTTTATGGCACCTACTCAAAAGTTTGTGGCTGCAGTGCACGCATGAAATTTTTGTGTTTGGCGACACTGCTTTTCCGCTCCTATTCAAGACGACTTCTTGATCTAGACTGTGTGGAAGTGTTTCGCAGTTCTGTGTGTTGACGTGGTTGATTGTTGTACACGCTAGGTGGTGATAGTTGCGCCTGGCGGCTTGTTGTTTTTGGAGCTTTCTCAAACTGAAACTCACACTGGCGGTATTGAGGAGCCTGCAAATAATTATCTGTCATGCACTACAGCAAACAATGTGTTGTGTTATGACTAACTGGCCCTCAGCAATCTTATGCTGCAAAAAAAAAATGAAAATTTTTGTATTCCTACTTCTTTAAGCATCTTGTCATAATTCTAAAAAACTGCTTTGTATTAGCTAAAAAAAATGGAAAAGTAGTGCTATGCACTTAACTTTGTAGCAAGTTGATGGCAAAGATTCTCTACGACATTTTTTTGTTCCTGATGCAAAAAAGTTTGATGTAGGCTACTGGTTTTTACTATTTAATTTTCACTAATAGCAACACGCTAAGTAGAAAGGATTATAATGGCAGCAGGTCGAGCTAATTGGTAAGCATTCGTCATGAAAAAAAGCAAGGCATGCAAAAACAAAACAGAGAAAGAAACCAGACAATACAGACGCATTTGAGTTATCTGGTCTGCTACTAGCAACTCGCAAACTGAAAGCAAGGGCAATAATGTGTACACATAAAAGCAGAAAATGTCTAGCGGAGGCCTTAGACGTGTGATAAGTGCGGTATTCAATATAAAGAAGAACCATTTTATTGAGAAGGTGCATTAAACTAGTAAATATCACTGATTTCCTTTGTCCTGACATTGTGTAGCATGTTATTCAAGCAATTTTGGAAGGCTACAATAGTATTTTTTTACACAAGAGACCCAGAAGGCATTCTAGCATAAAAGAAAATATTTGAGGGGCCTTTAGCTTGGTGAATACTGGGACACTTTACAGTGTGTACAAGATAGTCGTCCCACAGAAAGGTGCACGCGGGTATGACCAAAACACAGCACGTGCCCTGAACTGATTTGGCGAGCGGGACTCGCGTTAGGTACAGTACAATTCATAACCTGCATGCATTCTTGCCATTTGATGTGATAACTGTGGCCACGACCAACTCAGTGAGAGCAATGAATGAACTGAACTAACGAGGATGCACTAGCCCACTTTCACTTTTCACCCTTTGGTATTGGCGATCCGGCACAGGGACTTTCGATGTGAAGTATCACTCCACTCGTCTGGGTAACCTTGCTATTTTCGATTCTGGCTATTGTCTTATTTGATTCAACACGCTCTAAGTGCTGTACTGTCTTCGTCAAAAGTGTGCTGGTCACTCTCGTCCTGGGTGAAACAACCAGCAGAGAGTGGAGTGGAGCTTTCCTGAGGTGTAATAAGCATTGCTGGGAACTACTTCTTCATGGTCACCATACAGTAATACAAAAGAGAGGGAGGAGAATAAACTTAGCAGCATTCCTGGAGCATAGCCACTTTTATGCGAGCATAATAAGACTGTTGGCACACTGTCTACAACTGTTGTAAGGTCAAACTAGCATTGCTATGTGTTTACTGCTGTCTGTGCATAGTTTAGACGTCCTACATAAAATGGTGTGAGTCCACAAGTGCACGTAGTGTCCTAACTGAAAATACTGAATTTACTCAATTTTTGTGCTCTCAGTGAGTTGCCAGTGACCTGCATACTTTTGATACTGCGCTCTCTGATTATATGGAATCGGCTTTTAAGGCTCAAGGGCATCTTCAACTGACGTTTAGGCTATATAACACCTACATGCAATGTTGTGATTCATGATGTGTACATAGGTGTCAGTCCAGTTTAAGGCTAAAATGCGTGCCAGTGAATACTCCTAATTAAAGCACATCACTGTCAGAACCAAGAACCTTTGTCAAATTTCAACATTAACATTATATTCGGTTACTTTACAAGTTGGTATCAGTCAATATTAGAGAACCTGCTATAGGAGGTGAGGAAACAAGATGACAGGACGAAATGCAATGCATACATGTTAATCGTCCATTGTCATGCACTTCAATTCTCATATTAATAGACATGTAGAATAGCAAGAGCAAAACAATCGCTTGTTCTAACCAATGCATAAAAAAGCTACATACTTATTCTTTAAAACTGTATTGTAAAAGAGTTGCGAATAGTATGTATGTGCATATACAAATAGACTTAGCTAGCACATGCAACTGTGACCAGTAAAACTTTAGCTCAGAGTGCTCATTCAAAGTGATGGTAATAAGGTGAGAATTCATATAGCACAGTTCAGCAATTATACAATGTTTAAATTTTCTACAAGTAGATTTTTTTAAACTTGACTGCAGTGCAAACATTCATGTAGTATAAAGGCAAAAGGATGCAGCCTCATTTTGTTGGTGTGTCTTCAAAGAACTAGCCATGTCATGAAGCCCAAACAATTCATACATCTTGGCACACAGTCGTTCGTGAAGAAAACATCTGGCTGTTTAACTTGGCGCACTCTACAGAATCTATGTTTCGGGGAGCTAAATACTCTAACTGCTGGTAAGCGAACAGGCAAGTTATGTATATATATTACTTTCATATCATATACAAGATATAACAGCACAAATCTCGGAAACAGTCAAAAAGGAATAGGCGTCCCACTTAGGAGTACCGAGTTTGTTGCATTGGTAGCATTAGATGGTGCAGCTACAGAGGTAGCGCATGTTGAACGAGGAACAATAGTACAACGTAACAGCACAATAATATATACGGTGTGATGCACACTGTCAAAGACATGCAAGTACATCTGTGTGATTGCAATGATACAAAACAAGGCAACATCTAAAGAAGCTACATTATGCTACATTATGAAAGAGTATAATGAAGCCTAGTACTATCGAACGTCAGGGAAGGATGTGGTCACATGAGCATGAGATTCACGCAGGAGCAGCAGCAGCCCTGACAGGCTTCATTTGAGAAATGAATTTTTTTGTGCAGTTCGTTAATGTTGCAGCTTATATCTTCTGTTGTGAAATGCCAAAAGGGCTGTGCTCGAAAATGAAGACGTGAATTTGTGATTCAAGAATCGAGCTTCTGCACTGGAAGAACAGGGTTCACAAGCAACAAACAATCGAATGGGCATGTCACGTTATTTTTTTTTTCACCAAGCGACAACTCCTATTTCATGTCATAGCATATGCTAGAAGCATACACTGAAATAGGAAAAGAGAAGCAATGCCAACTAGAAATTTAAGGCTGTTTCATTGTGAAATACTTGTATTTATGCTGTTGCTTACTCGAAAAAGGGTGCAGGCAGCATTTATCTCCTGATTGCTATAGCTAATTGTGTTTTATTAGCTTGACATGTCAGTTTTGTCATCATTAGAGATCTATTGGAGACCAGCTAAAGCTAACTATATATTTGTGTGTGAGTCGCTACTTCCTGTACAGGTTCTTTAAGAAGCAATATTTAAAAGAAACTGGAAGTTCTGTATACAACGGTTCCAGCAGCAGAAATTGCAACAAGTGCCATTTCCATTGGCAATAATTTGACATTATTGGTTTGTCCTCAAGACTTTTGAGTCGGAGTCCAGACATCCATCTTGGTAGGCAGGGCACAAATTTTACACAAGAAGATAAATTAATATCAACTTGCATGATATAATTGTTTATTGAGTCTAGGAAGTCGTTATATTGAGCCAACGGCAGTAAGTGCACGAACACGTAATCTGTACATTAATGTGCACACATTTATCTCTCTGTAAAAAAAAGCACTCCATTTATATCTATAAATAAGATAAGGTATTGTGATTTTATGCATGTAATGTCTACAAACAGCAAACCACTAAGTCTCAAATGCTGTATGGGCTGCTCTGCTCAGGAGATAAGTTGTGTTTATCAGGTCGTCTTAAGCGCGTGCATGAATGTCAAAATCAATGCGCATGCATCAGTGCGAAACCAGTGGATGTTCCTTTTATAAGAGGCCAGATATCCTATATTAAAGATATTTTTTCAATTATTTAGCTAGGCTAGATGACAGTTTACCTTGATAATATAGTACCATTCTACACAGATACATTTGTAACGAGATTGACTGTATTTTTCTTTGCCAAATAGTCACTACTCATCCACTCAGCTGTAGGTAGACATTTACTCACCTTACTTCATTGTTATAAAAGGTTGCTTTCTCAGCACGCATGGTAATGAGTTATGGAACCATCCAGTGGTTTGTGTTTTTTCATCTTCGTATGATAAAAAAGAAAGGGCTGCGCAATGTGCAGACGGGAGTTTCAAGTAGAGCTCGGCAGCGAGTTGGACCCTAAGGCGACATAAGAGGTTCTATACGACATCACCTTCTATTTCAGTCTCTGGACCACCGTTTCAAACCAGCTGGTGAAATCATAGAACATGGTAGAAGTGCAGGGACTATATATGTGTGCACGCACACAAAGACATACACTTGGGCACAGCAAGCACAGGCCACGGTTATCATACAGAATGCAGCACACAAGTGTGCATGAAATCACACGAAGAGGAGCACAGCTGTACATAAGTGAAGAATGTGCAAGGTCTCAGCAATAATTAGCGCGAAATTATAAGAACGGTATTAAGTGTGCTTTGGCAATTGATGTGGGGCACTTGAACTGCATTGGTATACGACATGAACAGGTTCATAGGATGACTTTCACGGGTTTTTCTGGTACGATGCGAATACAGGAGATAAGTGGCACAAGTGTGAGAATAGAGTCCGGTGAAACATACTTGGCTGAGTTATGGTAAGAGAAGCGGAGTAGCGTCATAAGATAGTGATGTTAATAATGCTCACATTGCTCATGAGAGAGTGTGAAAGGCTTAACTCATTAGCATTAGCCTTGCAAGTGTGCAGATACTTGCTTTGTTTTGTGTCTCGGTATTTTGACATGCCATCAACACCTCATTGAGTGGATTTCTAAGGGGTGGTAACAGCTCGTTTGAATTGAACGAGTGTGCATGGCACGACACTGCATAGGCTAGCACGCTTATGTTGAATAGAGCTTGCACTATGATTGGATGAGTGCCAGAAAGACCCGACAATAGACAAGTGTTTCTCTGCATCACTTAGAAGTACCCCTAAATGTGTCTTACATGGGGCACTGTTATGAAACATGTAGTATCTGTATGTCTAGCGCAGGCACCATGAAGCAACTCATCATATTGAATGACTCCTATATGACCCTGTGTGTAGGCACATGCTCGTTATATTCTGCATAATCCTTATGTACTCACGATAACAAAACTCATAGCGGTTTCAAACCTTGAAACCTCTCTAATACTCTGTCCTCGTGGGCACTATTCGATGGGTGTGTGTGTGGCATACATAAAAAATACTAAAGAGAAAAAAACGAATGTTGACTTTTTGCAGCTGGTGGCTCTTGAAGATATTGTAAATGTGAAATTCTGATGTTGAAGAGATGTAAGAAAATAAACATCTGTTGCTGCTTGATACTGTATTGAAAACATACAAAGAGAAAGGATGAGTTCTCCAAATAGGGGACTATTTTGATTTGTGCGTATTGGATATAGCGATGTCCGCTAGCAGTCAAGCTTATCATGTATGCATTTTAGAGATGAGTTCATCAAGACAGTTCAGTGTTCACAGATATGCCAATAGTTGTAGTTTGCATTAATGTAGCTCAGGGCTAGTCCAAACATTAAGCGCCATTCCTACTCCACTACATGTGTTGTTGAGCTCACAAAGTATGTTATACGTATTCAGTGCATAGTCTGCCAGAAGTTCCAAGGCCACTTGAAGAGTAACGTATTCAGCCACCGAGACTTGTTACACCAAACAGGTGCTTGTCCTAAGCGTGGGCAAACCAGAATAATTGTGTCTATATCTTTACCAGAACAAAAGTCTAAGAGTGTTTTTGCATGTGGCTCCAGTTACCGCTTTAAAGAGACCCTGAAATTGTTTTTTGAAGTATTTTCAGCATTTAGGCTAGAGCATCATTAAACCATTTGCATCACAAATTTAGCGACATGCCGTGTACCGAGGAAGCTATGGATAATTATGTCATATACACCTTCTCACCCCTGCCGTACTTCCTCAACTGACGAGACAGACTGGCATCACAGTGCTCTCATGAGCACACTCGTGCTTTACCCAGTCTAGACCTCAGAGATTGCACGCTGACAGGTTGCGCGCAATCTCAGAGGCCATCACCCAGTAAGTCCGGCAGCATACATGTCGTCTGGCAAAAAAGACGAAGATCGCGGAATGGTTGATATCTGCTCCGACAGGTGCTGCCACCCGACCAGCCAATCTTACTTTCGCGCAGTCCACAGCCAATCAGATCAGCAGCCTGGGTGACGTCGTGTTACCAGAGCATGTTGCTATGTATGTATGTTGCTTCAAGGGTGACTAAAAGCTGTTTGTATAGACCTTTCACAGACGGTTCTCTGGGCGCCGCCATAATCCGCCTTGGGCTGTGTTAAACAGGTCTGGCCCCCCACAAAATTCATTGCCAAGGCTGGGACATCAGCCTTTGTGTTCCCGCGCGTAGCCCAGCATGACGGCGTTTTTTTCTCTTCTGTGACAAGGTCTATGACATCAGCCTTTGTAATCTCGCGCGTAGCCCAGCATGAGGGCGTTTTTTCTCTCCTGTGACAAGGTCTATAGGATGAAAGGTACGATGGGCTGCTGCTGAGCACCTGAAACACGTGTTGGCTTTTGCCATAGAAATCCATACCCATAAGTTACCAAGTCATAGTGAAGCAAGCTTGTAAACCTTTCAGAAGCAGCAGCGTATATTTATGCTCCCAGTGAAGCAAAAAAAAAAAAAAAAAACAGCAGTAAGACTGGGATGCTACTTAGACGGGCATTTCTCCTTGAAGTGTGGTTTCACGGCAATGACACTTGTGCTTTGAGGTGTGGCTTTACGGCAGTGTGAACCGTATTGCTGTGAAGTCGAATTTCAAAGCAAACTTTCCTGCCATGAAAAATAGCTTGTAATATTTCCGCATCCTCAACAGTAGTTCACCTCCTCTCCATCCCCGCAGTGACGTTGAGAAAGTGAGATACTTCGAGCTAATTACAAGATCATAGATTACCGTAACGGTGAGAATTCGAATTTTTTCTCGACCCCGTCACTCCCACTATGGCAACACTCATGGAATGCTGAAGCAATTTTTTTTTTCGTGACCTGCAGCACGTTGAACGCCATAACAATGTCGTGAAAGCTCGTTTAGCAAACAACGTGAGAAACTTTTCAGCCACGTTTTAGCGATGATCATAAAAGCCTGTTTGTCTCACATGTTACGAGGTGATTCAGGAACCGATTCGCAGATTGAGCTTATGTACGTGCATTCCTATTTCGGAGCTTATGTAGGTAACAGCGCATTCCCTCGCATGAATGTATGTCACGACTTCACATTCACATCACTTAATACCGGTGAAATCACTTCATCGCCAAGCTAGATGCACCTAGCTGTGAATCCGTCTTGACGTTGCTGCTTCTGTTGCGCCTTTCCTTCGTGCTACAAACTGCTTTACAACACCGTTTACCGGCTCTGTAGGCTACTTACTGGCTGAATAATTGCGCTAGTCTATGCGACTGATGTTTTCGAAGCATATAACTTCAAACATTGGGTAGGAATGTTTTTGTTTTCTTTTGTTTTTAATTTTCTCGTCTATTCAGCTAAACAGGGTACTTCACGACCTGCTTTTAGACTTAGAGTATGTAAATACCTCCTCATATACCTGAACGAAATAAAATAATCTTTCCACTCTTCTTCTTTGTACGTGTATGACGTCGGCATTCCTAAGCTCAATTTAGCAGGTGGCAATCTCGTCCTGCAAGTCGCAATTTTCTGGCCGTCTTATTCAATCTCGACTCCGGCACCAGCTCCGTCTATCAGCATTGCTTCGCTCCCGAGACAGCGGCGTCTCCGGAAATGAGAACGTGGGTCGCAACGCATGTGTTCCGAACATCACACTGTAGCACTTAACAGTCGCGTTCTTTCAGCGACATCAGTGCAGCGTTCGTCCCAAGGTTTTTAGCAGCCTAGAGGGACGGACACTGCGTCACGAGGAGTCCCGTAGTGCCTTGGCGAAAGGAAAGACAGTCCCGTGCACCGCCCGAGTACGTCACTGCACGCTGTCGCCTCAGAGCTTGGTGCAGTAGGACTCCTGTTCGTCCTCGTCTTCCTCGACGTCCTCTTCGATGGTGGCCACGGGAGCGGTAGCGTTCGCCACGCCGTTGCATGGCGTGCCGTTGCTCTCCTTGGAGGCCAGCGGCGGCGTGAGCGGTCTCTTGTCTACGAGTCGGAATGCCTCGAGGAACTCGTTGAAGTCGATGAATCCGTCCTTGTTGATGTCGATGCTTCTCGCGAGCTCCTCTACCTGCTCTTCGGACATCGGCGTGTTGGCGTGCTGGCCCAGGAGGTCGCAAGCGTCCTTGAACTCCTCCATCGAGATAAGCCCTGCAAAGTGATGGTTCCCGTGGTAAGTTAATGGGACACTTAAGCGATATAATCAATTGATTTAGGTTGGCAAAGTATGTTACGAAAACTGCGGTGCTTCCAATTTCACCACCATAGGTTTGTTAATAGATGCGGAAAATGTTTGTCAAAAGTTTACCTTCTAAATTTCTGTCCGAAGTCTCAGATCGCAACGTCACGAATGTCAAATGCCAGTTTTTTTTTTTTTTGGTATTTTGGGCAGATTGATTCAATGAGGTTTTCTGAAACTTCCTATGTTAGGTGTCTCGCTACCCCAGAAGACAATTTAATTCATCTTTACATATTAGGCACTACCAAGGCCTTGTAGGAACCGTCAAAATTTATGACGTGCACGCCGACTGGTACGAGAACATCAGGGTGGCGTCGGCAACCGCTTTTTCGTTTCTCGTTGATTAAGTCTCTTCTCGCAGTAAGCATGACGTCTTTCGCATTGTGAAAGGGTAATTAACTAACGCGATAAAAATTGTTTTTTTTTTATTTACTGCCCTTTTAACACACGGACAGCTTCGCAGTGGTTTTACTACGCTCATTCGCATTACAACTGTTATTAAGTGCGCGCTTTAGATCACGCTTAGGAGCATTTCAAGCCGCGTGCGCACCCACAGTCGCAACATCGTCGATCCTTCGGACAATACACAAAATGGTATACGCAGTTCAACTTACCAGAGCCATCTTTGTCCATAATCCTGAATATTGTTTCCAAGCTGTCTTTGTTTCTGTACAGTGACTCGAGAAAGGTAGGACCATTCTGTGAATGAAGAAAAAAAAAAATGTTTCATTCTGACAGTTTTAGTCTAGCCCCGCGTTAGAAAGAGACACATCCACACCGACTGCGCTGTCGTTCAAATAGCGGCGTCGCTTCGCAGATTTACTGCCAGTGCTATATACTTCACGCCATTAAGATTTTCTGGTAAATATATATAGCGTTTGACAATGTCGCCTACGTTAACAGTGTCGCATCGCTGTCCGCGGCGAATGTCCTCAAAGGAAGGCCGAAGGCCTGGGCCACGGGATGGGCGGAGGCAACCGCCAAGGAGCAGGGCCGACTAACCGTCGTCGCATCCCGCAATCGAGGACTTTCCTTAGTCCTTCAAGTACGAGCTTACGAGCTGAGTAATGGGGATTTACCGCGCGCTTCAAGCCCTTTCTCTCTCCTCCCGTAACAGCAAGCGCGCGGGAAGCTACGCGGGGGCAGGAGATGACAAGGTGACCGTTCGTTAGTGCACGTTATGACTTTCAGCACTTTCTTTGCATTCTTCTTGCCTCCAAATTCGCGGCTTACTTTCTGTGCGATAGCGAGCGAGCGGGCACGTCGCGGCGGCCGTGGTATAGATATGCGGCTCACGATGTTCAGATCAGCCAATGGCCGTGAACTTCGCGCTACGACGCGGCCATTTATGTTTATGACATCATTTGTCGAGAGAATAGCGAAGGTTATTTAGCTGATTTTGAGAATTTATTGTTAATTCCAGGCCCCGGGCTGCGCTATAAGGCTTGGCTCGCATGTTCTCAGGATCCTCGACTACCGATTAGCCGAAGGTCGCGGGTTCGATCCCAGCCGCGGCGATCACATTTCGATGGAGGTGAAATGGTATAGGGGCCAGTGTACTGTGCTATGTCTCTGTGCAACATCCGATGGTCGAAAGTTCCCAAGCCCTCTAGTACGGCGTCCCTCATATCGGGGCTCCTGGACGTAAAACCTAAATACTATTATTATTTCACTACCGATTGGCCGCGTTTTTTTGACGATGCTGAAAAAGTGTTGCACGACCCGTTTAAGCTTTGTAAAAGATACGACCACGGGCGCAGAAATAGTACTTTCTTGTTACTACATGTTTTTAAATCTAACCGTAGCTCTACCCCAGGATGAGTTCGTCACGTTTACAATATATATAACGAAGCTGGTAAAGAAAAAAAAACTTTGTTTGAAATGGCCGCTAGTGGCATCTCCCGAATATGGTTACCTCTCTGGTGCTGTCAGCATCTCGGATAACTGCCATACTCGAATACCATACCCCTTGACAGCTTAGCGGTAACAGCATACGTACGTAACCTAATAACAAGATGCCTAGAAGTCGACCACCAGGCGTCAACGTATGCACCATGCCCCTTATGCCACACTGTACGTACTCCCCCTTTCAAATTGCCTGCAAAAACCCCGAGTCATTCATGCGAACGAATTCCAACGTAGGCCATGCTCAAGGCTAGTCTATAAGCGTCTCCAATAGTAATGAGGAAAACTTCAGGGCTCGTTTCTTTTGTTGTTAGACACAAGCTAAACGATAACCAACGGACAATCAAGCCCGATGACGTATAGACGGGATGATGGCGCTGTCAGCGCTCAATTGGTGGAGCATCTAACTGTTTTTTCGAAGGTTCGAGGTTCGATTCCTGCAGGCGGCAAGTCGTCTTCACGTCAACTTTATTTACTCACATATAACGTCCGTTATACTTTCATTGGCCAGATTATTTGTTGATTCTCATTAAACTAGCAGCAGTTGCCTGTTCATATAGAGCTCAATTTTCTTTGCCTAAAACACTGGTAAGGAAACAGCATTGTTTTCTAGGTGCATCTTCTGGATATTGTGCCTCTTTCATGGCACCGTTTCGAAGTTAACTATAGCTCCCTCTCAACTCTTTAGTTTTACCGTATCACCACATTGCCTTCTACGTATAACTAAAGCATCGGGAACCACCGCATGCGCGTGTCTCACCTGAGTGAGTTTGTTGGTGAGCGCGTACTCGTCGAAGGTGGACTCGTAGAGGACGCCTCCGGTGACGGGGTCGCACTGAGCGATCTTGGGACACAGTATGCGCCATGTGACATGTAGGCCCACCACGTTCTCCATCACCGTGCACCAGTCCGACAGGCTCACCTGACCTGCAAGCATGCCGTACAATACGCGCCTACGTGAGCCGAGTAAGGTTTGACCCACGCACCGTAGGATGTAAAGGCGCAATAAAGAACCCCGAGTGACAGAAATCATCCGGGGCCCGCCCTTGCGACGACTCTCACAGCCCGAGTAGCTTTGAGGTTTTAAACTTCATAAACCAATCTCCAAGGAAACAGCGAAAGCTACACAGACGGGAGTCGTTCTGTTAGCGCTTAGCCGCGCTCCCACAAGGGCTGCGCAATTTCCTCCATTAGGAATGAATTCTGCGTCCTTCTGCATCGTCCGAGGAAATTGCTGCGTCTTCTATAGACCGAAATAAAGTTCGCTCACCACAACCGCTACCACCAACGAAAAAAAAAAGTCCCCCCTGAACATGCTTTGGTCGTTGTATAAATGACAAGTAAGCATAGTTTTACCATACAGAAGCCTTCAGTGCCTTCACCCCCCTCCCCTCTTGTTTTCTCGGGAACGTTATTCTCGGATGTAGAGGGAGGCGGCACCAGCGGCCCTGGCGCAGAGTCTTTTTCCTCTTGCTTCTTGCGTTTGTCAGTATCTAGAGCGGCTCAACGAAATAACCATCCCGTGATGACCGAAACGCGTCTTGGCATTACATTTTCGCAAAGACGAAAATATTCCTGATGTACCCTGTTCAACACCGGCTTCAAATCTTTCCCCAGAGAGAGCTCTTATTTTACTATCACGCTTTATTATATCATAGCCTTAAAGTGGCGATGAAAACCAATTCTCGGTCATAATCTGTGCTATGTGTATTCGTCCTTGAGCATTCAAAAATTAGCTGGCGAAATTTTAGCACATTTGGCTGAGCACTCAACTTATGACTTAATATGTTTATAAGCACGCGAGCCGGGACGTAAAAAGCCGATAGCTGTGTGAGCGTCTGCATTCATGCGAACAACATTTTACCGTGGTGAGCTGCATGTGGAACCGAGATATTTTTTTTTTCGGTTAGCCACTGTAATTGAACGATTCGCAGCGGCTGAAAAATTAATAGAAGACAACGACACCGCTTCACGCTGCACATGACGTCACACACGCGATGGCAAAATAGGGGACGCCTCGGTCGCCGGCGGTGGGCGGGGGTTAACAGCCGGCGACTTCTAGGGCTTGCTTTGCACTGAAATATTCTTGTACACGCTACTTTTCATACCTGAAAAGGTACAATAGACCCCCTACATGTAGTTCTCGCTGAAAGCCAAGAATTGTTGGGTGATCGTGCCATGCCCCCCCCCCCCCCCACTTCGTTCTAAACTTTTTAATTTTTTCATTTTTACGTACTGGTACAGAACATTCATATTAGCCAGATATATTCGCCTTTCACAAGCATAGGCGTGTGACCTGGTCGGTAAGATGACCACTTTCGGACTGAGGGGATGTAGGTTCGAATACCAGTTGCGCCCTCCAAATGTTTTTTACACGCATTTATTTTATTATGACAATTCGTTTTATGGAATCGAACGGACGGCCGAGCTAACAGTTGCCTCGTTCAGCGGCACATTTAAAGTCTCGATATTATATCATCTTTACACATAGTTGCATTTGAACTACCTGCCCAACTACGTACTAAATCAACAAACCCTAGGTGAATGTCCCCAGCGTAACGACAGTAAATGGTAATAAGTTCCTTCAGTAAAGCAAACCTCTTCACAACTCATTTCTTGATGTTTCCCGTTTGTTGTGCCAGCTTAAGTAGTCATCATGCATTTCAACGAAAAGCCTTTCAAGCTAAATGTTTCCCTTCTACTGCTACCTCACACATTTACTTTACTGCAGTAGATGTAGAAAAGCAATCGAATAAGTCGAGGCTCGGAATTCGTCTAACGAACTTCCTTCAGTGGTCACGACAGGAAGTTAGCTTCCCAACAACGCAGACCGTTGGTAAATGTTTTGAGCTGGTTCTGAGATCTGTGGAAAAAAAAAAAAAAAACGCGTTGTAGCTCAATCGCTACAAGCTGTGAACTCATACAAAAGTTTGCCCTTATCACAGGTGATAAGGACATCAACTTGTTCAGCTGCTTTTCGACTGTAGTGCGGTGAAGCAAACGCAACAGGGGAGCTTTCAGCTCATAAGGCGTTAATATTAGGGCCATCGCTGCCAGGTGTGACGTCAGACAAAAGTTAAGCCTTATCATTGCGATAAGGGCCTCAACTTTTTCGGCTGTAGTGTGGTGAAGTAAACGCATCAGGGGAACCTTCAGCTCGCAAGGTGTTAATAATAAAGCCATCGCAGCGAGGTCTGACGTCAGACAAATGTGGATCCTTAGGGGATAAGGACCTCAACTTTTTCGACTGTTTTTCGACTGTAGTGCGGTTAAGTAAACGCATCAGGGGAGCTTTCAGCTTGCAAGGTGTTATTATTAGGGCCATCGCTGCCAGGTGTGACGTCAGACAAAAGTTGAGCCTTATCATAGGTGATGAGGGCCTCAACTTTTTCAGCTGCTTTTCGACTGTAGTGCGCTGAAGCAAACATGTCAGGGGAGCCTTCAGCTTGCAAGGTGTTAATATTAAAGACATCGCTGCAAGGTATGACGTCAGACAAAAGTTGAGCCTTATTATGGGTGATAAAAGCCTAAACTTTTTCAGCCGCTTTTCGACTGTAGTGCGGTGAAGTAAACGAATCAAGGGAACCTTCAGCTCGCAAGGTGTTAAAATTGGGGCTATCGCATCGAGGTGTGACGTCAGACGATAGTTCATCCTTATCATAGGTGATAAGGGCTTCAACTTTTTCGACTGTTTTTTTTTTTTTTTACTCTAGTGTGGTGAAGTAAACGCATCAGGGGAACCTTCAGCTCGCAAGGTGTTAACGTTAAAGCCATTGCTACAAGGTGTGACGTCAGACAAAATTCGAGCCTTATCATAGGTGATAAGGGCCCAAAACTTCTTCAGCTGCTTTTCGACTGCAGTGCGGGGAAGTGAACACATCGGGAGAACCTTCAGCTCGCAAGGTGTTAATATTAAAGCCATCGCTGCAAGGTGTGACGTAAAGCAAAATTCGAACCTTATCATAGGTGATAAGGGTCTCAACTTTTTCAGCTGCTTTACGACTGCAGTGCGGGGAAGTAAATGCATTAGGGGAGCCTTCAGCTCGCAAGGTGTTAATATTAGGGCCATCGCTGCATTGTGTGACGTCAGACAAAATTCGAGCCTTTCATAGGTGATGAGGGCCTCAACTTTTTTGTCTGCTTTTCGACTGTGGTGCGGTGAAGTTTACGTATCAGGGAACCTATGAATCGGAAGGCTCCTATTTAAATAGATGAGAACTGACCAAGCGAACGGCCAACGCCAGAAATATTAAGAAGTAAGGACTGTAGATGTCTGTTATATTAAATGAACTGCGTTTATTATCGCATAAATTCGTTACGCGTAGGACATTCAGGTGTGACTTGTCGTTTGCACGCGTACTTCTGATGTTTTTAGCGTGAGCAAAAAGCGCTCATTGGAGGCAGTTTAAGTCCAACCATATTCATACAGAATAGACAACTATGAGGTTTTCAATGCTTAAGTATTTCTATTAGGACTGAAAAAAAAAGTGCGGCCAGCTTCATTTCGCGAACACTCGTAATGGCGAAGCTGATGCCCCCTTCATCAGGCTCGCCCTCATCCATGTTTGTGCAGCTGTAACTGGTTCACCCTTTCCACTCAATTTCGTCGCTCAGCCTCCTAGCACACCTTTTATTGGTTGACAATTTCCAGCGAGCCTCGCCCTCGCCCATCTTAACGCGGCGCAGCCCTTTCTCTTCTAACGAGCCCTACTCTCGCCACACCACAAGACCCCGTGACCAACGAGCGGGGAAGTCTCGACAAAGAACAGCTTCGCCGTTAGAAAAATGTGCGTGCCTTTTCGTTCTTCTGTCACGTATGACGATTTGCTACTATGAAAAACATGTACGAAAAAAAAAAGTGACTGTGCTGCTCGGTTTCGAACTTGCAGCCTCACGCACAGAACGGGAGCGTCTTACTATCCAAGCTGCACGCTCACGTTGCTACTTTCACGTTAAATGTGAATATAGTTGGACCATATGAAGTGATGTAACGGCTATAATAAAGTATGTATTATGAAAACATTTGCTTTGTAGACATAGTTTCACGATCGTGAAAACAACGCCTTCTTTAGGAGAACATGCGAAATAAGTGAATTAAAAAAAATCTTGGTCACACTGCTGGGTTTCGAACCTACGGCCTTATGCTCTGAGGTCGAGTGTGTTACCAACTAAGCTAGACGCCGAAGCTTGCACATTGTGAATGTAGATGAATCGTGCCAATGTGTTCTGCCGGTGATAAATAAAGAAAGAGAGATATTAAAACACTTTGTTTTGTTGGTATATGTTTCGTAATCGTGCATTATAATATCTTTATTCGGGTTAGCTAGAACTGGGGGTCTGACAACATCTCATCCCGGTCACCAGTCGTTATAATATATTTATTCGGGTGAGCTAGAACTGGGGGTCTGACAACATCTCATCCCGGTCACCAGTCGTTGCGGCTCGGGTCCGGCGGGTCTCGTCATAGGTGGCTGGTCGCCGCAATCAGACCCGTTTAGCCCATCTTGCAGGGAGGAAGACGCATTCTTAGGGAGATATTTACAGATGTTTATCTACACAAAGGTGAATTACATCTTGACAAACTCGTGTCGAGAAGGCTCTACATCAAAAGAAGCTCGGAAAATCTTCCGAAGCAGCCCGCGAGGGCTGATAATAAACAGTCTCGTTTCCCCAGATCCGTGAATGAGAGAAAGGACACCAAATTACACAGTCCAATCCAAAGACATACACCACTTTCGACGGGGCCGCCCGCACCCGCCCACGTCAGCGTCCTTGACTGAGGCGGAGTCACCAAACTTCCACTGTGGCACCACGGTGTACTCTCGCTGGCGTGAGTAGGTCGTTGGGGTGATGAGTGTGCGTGCATATACATGCTTTGGATATCAACTATACGGCCTACACAAACAAGTGAATGCTAGGAAGCACAC